CTGCTTACGAGGATAACCAGGCATTTGAACAGTCTGAGCAAACGGATTTGTCCACATTGAATTTTCTTGAAACGTCGGACTCAAAGACTTACTCTGCCACCCCAACTGGGAAGAAGAAAAGGAAACATCGTTGAGCGAGGTTCATATGGTCGAACCTGTTAATTGTTATTCTCTGAAGCCTCTTTTAGGATATGTACATATGCTTATTTGCTGTAAATATGCGCATTTATTATATTTTTTAGTATGTGCTCAGTACCAATATTTCGAAAATGCGGCTGGTGATCTCCAGCCGTATGTTCACAACGGGGCATTCTTCGATTACATTCACAAATTTGCCAACTTTGGAAGCAGACCCTTAAACCCGTTTGTCTTGTATTGGTAGGACTTAAGATCGGAGTCTTTGCCTGTTTACTTTTCACGTATCTAATTTCACATAACGTGATGAGTGGAAGTCAAAAGCTAATCTATGCTTTAATTGCGCCAGAAACAAGCCGAAGTTAGGCTACCTGTTTCCAGCCTTGCACGTCGATCATTATGACTTGCATCTTTCCTCACGGGTTTAAGTCCCATATTGGCGCTTGCAATTGTCGGTTACTTCGTATTCTGCACTTTAATCGGTCGCAGGCCGTACTAGACAGTGCGTGTCGTAACGCGGAGTTGGCACCACTTGCTTTTGATGCCCATAATTTTACACGACAGTAGTTTATTGGTTGGATCAGCCATCTACTATATCTAGAGTGATCGGACCTAGTTAGAAGACAGGGCAGAGAAGTCTAACGCCGGAACCGCTTTCATTCGCCCGATTTTTCGGACTTCTTCAATAGCCATTAGCAAAAGGTAGGTATTCTCTGTAATCAGGTGTCATCCTCTTGTTGTCTGGTGGTAAGATCGAAAAGTGTGACTTGTGATTTGCAAATCCATATGCCTCATTTTGACGGCTATATCATGTTTTGGTAGCTCACGACGCGCCTTGTCGCTGGGCCCTGCCACCACGTTGGGTTCCGCGAGTCAAAACGGTGACCTAAAGAATCTAGACGACCGCTGGGGACAATGTGTCGTTTGCCTACACTCTCAGCCTCTTCTGACTTATTTGATTTGGATACCCCTTCCAGTCTGGTATATGTATTCGCATCGGTAATTCCAGGGTAGCGCCTTCATAATGTACTCTGTTCACTCGATTGGACGAAAGCTTGGTCGTATTATATGTGGCTATGGCCGTGCCTGATCTGGCCGGCTTGAGTGGTGTCGCGGATATTACCCTTCCACACTCGAAGTCTAGGAGCAGTGAGTCCGGGAGATTTGTCTGCTCTCGCTCAAATGCGAAGGTCCAGTAACAGCCTCCAGCTCTCCTGACAGGCTCTCTCAAGCTGGTTTCTTATCTGATCCCTCCTCACAGCTTCCAGTGAGACAGTGACACTGTACCCGTATGGTGAGCAACGAAAATCTCGCCCAAACCACTTCAGTCGTCTTCTTTGGGTGATCTGAGACGCTTTTCACGAACTGGTGAATGTCAACTACCTCTCTCAAGAAGGTGTGCTTACCCTGATGGATCCTTCATAGGCCTTATTGTACGGCCTCAGCACTGCACTGATGATTTATTCCTGAGAAGGAAGGTTGTACGATACTGAGTAGGCTGTAGATGGATAAACTCCAATATAAATAAAGGCAGATAGGTTGGTCATCTAATTTGAAGGATGTCCGAAGTGCTCACGGCAGCGTCCGATATTGGTCGATCTGTTGACATTAAAACCGCCACTCACGTCGTTGGCATTCACTTAGTACAGCGGGGGTTTATCATTAACTAAGATGGATTTGATAGTCATCGGCTATCACCGGCACTCGAGGTCCTCGCTGTGGAACTCGCTGTTTTGGTCCGGTCGTTTTTCTGATCACTCTTAGTCGACTGTTGCCATTTGTCGGTGTTTATGGGATGCACAGTCGCGATTGGACATAGCTTGAACTGCCTAGGCGGATGACGGAGGTCTTCATGTAATGCAATCATTGCGGCGCGACTCCGTGTATCCAAGGATTCTCTCAACCGCCTCGCGCACCGATGACTTTTCTGGGAACCGGTTGCTACCGCATTCTCACAGGCTGCTAAGCGAGATCGGACTTACGTACCCAAAGCGTCGGTTGTATTTTTTCGAAATGGCAGCCGTTGTGGAACACTTTGACTGCTACTGAAAGTTAAACTCAGGCTTGTGTGAACGATACCCTGACCCCGCCCAAGGGCGATGCCAGCTTTGGTATCACCCTCGACTTGCTATTACGGACGCAGCTACGAAGCCTTCAACTAACTAGAATACCAGTTATCTTTCTCTTCGTATGATCCTCGTCTGAGTACTGATACATACGATGCTGGGATTGTGCGTTGGTGACAACTATCTGGCTTTGCTCTTTGTTGCATCAAGAACCAAGACCATGACGATCAGTAACATTTGAAGTCGTCCGGTCCAGTAGGCCTACTGCGGTTCCCGCGAACAATGAGCAGGCCACAGCTATGGAATCTTTCTAGTCGGTAACTAACTGGTTCTCAAGCAAACGATGTATGGTTCGTTTTTCTTGAGGGAGCGGTCGCCATGCCGTATCACACGGGTGTCGGATGGGCCATTACAATAGACGATTAGGCGGGAGCCAACCTCCTGAGGTACACGGTGGATATCGTCGACAGCGACGGTGGAACTTTCGATGCTGTGTTGTGAGATGAGAGGCGGGTTGATCGTACTGACATTTCACTGGGTCTGCAGATGTCCAGCAAGACTGATTCTTGCATGAACTGTCCGTTGACAGTGTTTAACACAACAGCAGGGGTTGTGTGCTGGCGTCATTTGTCCATGGCACTTGATTCTGGTGGATCTCTTTGCCTTGGTAGTGCCAATCGTCTGGATTCGAAGATGGCTGCTCCAGTCTTTACGGAAATGCACCACTCATGTCGATCTTCGGCGAAAGTCCTCCCATGTCACCCGATTAGTTTATTTATGTTTAAATGACGTATTCAATGAGTCCTTGTGGCGACGTTTTTTTACCTTGTCTGCAACCACCCGCATCTACGTCGCCGTAGAATACCCGTTTCGGCAGATACTCGTCCACCCTAGCAATGTGACCGCCCCATCTCAGTTGTATCTACCTCAGCAGTGCGTAGATGCTTTGGACGCTAGTTTTTCCCAGGACCTCAGTGCCTGGGATCTCACCTGTCATTTTTCTCAGGCAAATTAGGTGGAAATGATTAAGTCTTTCTGTGCATCCTCAATGTTGTGCTGAGTAGAATGCTGTGATGTTCCTGAGTCGACCGTGGACTTGAATGGCTTTAGAGAGATCGTCGTCAATCTTGATGTTTCTTGAAGTAGTACTCCCAAGTTATGCAAATTTCTCGTCTGCCATAATTATGAGCTCCACTAACATTGTTAAAGAGTTCGATGTAGTCAATACTTGTCGCCAGCTGGTGCAGGACCGTTCTCTTCTCCGCGCTGATGATCAGGCCGAAGTTGGAGCAACCAAAGGTAAATTAGCCCACACTCCTCTGCATGTTCTCTTCGGAGGTGGCGTCGAGAGCGCAGTCATCCACGGTCAGTAGGTCGTGGACGATGACCTTCGATACCTTTGAAGATGCTTTCAGACGGCGAATGTAGGAAATCCTTCCATCGGCTCCGTGGTTGGTGTCGATCGCCGGCTGTTCCTCACGGTAAGCGCCCATCAGCGTGGCGGAGAACATGAGTCCGAATAGGTTAGAGGCCAGTACGTAGCCCTGCTCCACCCCACCGGTCTTCGCGAATGCTCCAGAGATCGCCCCGTTGTGAACGTTGCCTTGCCATCTGAGTAAATCTCTCAGCACATCCGGATTTTTTGTGATTTTCCAAGGGTCCATTGTGATTCACATTGTCAAAGTCCTTCGTCAGAGCGACAAAAGTGGTTGGCTCCCATGTCCTGGCGAACCGCGAAGCTCTCAAAATCCGCACTGTGTTGCTGGAAGACTTTATGCCCCAGACGCGCATTCAGGAAAGTGGAACACGGGCGACAGTTTCTCCTGCGATATTGAGAAGTTGCCGGTTCCCCTTGCGTTCGTACATATGAACGATGGTGACCTTGAAGTCACGTGGGGCATTCAGCCATATCAACTTATACTGTATTTAAAGTACCTGATATTAACTTTCTTTTCGGTTGCATTTGGGATCTTAACTTGAAGATGACATAGTGGTGATCCCTCCAGCAGTCAGCACCGCGCATCGTCTTGGTCACGAGCACGTCCCGCAGTATAGGCTTACGGACTAGGACGTAGTCCAGCGAATGGCAGTAACGCGAGTGAGGTGCATCCACGTCGCCTTCTCACGAATCAGGAAACGGGGAGAGGTGATGGTCGGCAGGAGATAGCATTCCGTGCGGGCCTATAGGAGGAGAAAGCCACAGCTGTTACCCCAGCACCCCTCCCCAGTCATCATAGTTTGCGCCGACGAAGTCATTTAGGTCACCAAGGGCAAAAAGTGCTTCCACCCTTGACACAGTTGCTTGGAGGGTGTGTAAGTCTTCGTAGAACTTGTTCTTCACGTCACCAGAGTTGGTCACAGAGAAAACACAGGAGCTGAAAATGGCAGCAAGTTCGTTCCCATGGAATGGGTCCTCATAATCATTGGCGTCCCGTGACAGGCGAGACTGCCATCTCTCGACGTCGTTTTTGGTGGCGAAGGTGACTCCGCTTTCTTGTCGCTCTGCTCTTGGACGTCCGCTCCAGAAGAAAGTGTCTCCTACACCCGCCTCCTCTAGTTGACCCTGTTTAGAGAGGCGGGTTTCACTCTGCAGTGGGTCAGTTCATGGGTGACCAGAAACATCCTGCCTTTCAGGCGGTTCGCTGATGAATTGTCTAAAGGGGAACGAATACTCCACATTGCCGGTAACACTGCTCACCCTGGCAGTCTGTGGAGGGACATGGAAATTTGGTGTGGTGGTTGTTGCTGCAGTTTTTGCGTCCATAAGCCACGGTCAGCTTGCCGATGACATGTTTTACCAGCAATTCCAAAGCATCCCTTCTAGCCCCCTCCCTTGTAAGGTTATAAGAAGTGCCACCCTCAAACAGGAATTTTTAGCCACCCCGGCGACTGCTGAATTCCATAAGCGTCACGACTTTTTCTAGGCGAAATGTGACCCGAGTCTGCCCGGACCACCTACAGGATTGCATATCGCCCTCTCCGTATGAATTTTTCCCTAGGGTGGAGAGGGAGTTTGGGGAATTGTCCGGAGATCACCAGTTATGGAGACACGCACACACGCCAAACGCTCACATTTGGTTTAACCCGTCGGTCAAGGACAGTTATCGGGGTGTGGCCGCCGTGCTGAGCAGGGCTTCGTGGAGCCACAGATGACCGCCGGGTACCAGGACGGAACGAAACAGGAATATCTGCCAAGGTCTATCGGTTCTTCTGGCGGAGACTGTCAATATGCTGCCTGTCAACGTTCGTATTTGTAGTGTCAGGTCCATTTGGCGCCGCCAGTGTTACGTCTTCGTGCACGGGGATTCCCGGCATTGTATGTGCGAAAGCTCAAGGCTGTGCAAAGTTCCCCGAAACGCACCAAAGGATCTGGCGTGACCATAAACCCACAATGCGGGCCCAGCTCACGACACCCCGTACACCCCGATAATGCAGGTAATAGTTTCAGGGTAAGGGAATACCATACCTATAGATCTAGAATATGCTGATTTACTCCAAGTCCGCAGTTAAGTTCTGAGGAACTTAAGAAGCAACAAGCAGGTAATAGTGTTAAAAAGTGCAATTTGGACAGGAAGGTTCTAATTTTGATACGGCTGATGGACTGCTCTCATAGTCGTGCTGAAATCCGGAAGTCGAGTTGTATTGTGATATTTCCTTTAAATAGCGACGAGGTTTCGATAACCTTGTTTTGCAATCCGTGAACACTATAGAGGAAAAAACAGTGAGATGAGGTCGTGTCGGAATTTTATGTTTCTTGACTTCCACTAAGGTCAAAACAATAAAGCTGATAAGGTCTAAGATGAACAAAAGCCAGTACGGTCTTCAGGCCAAGTTCGGAGTAAAAGGAGAATCTAGACACAGCCAGAGGTATTATTGCATTCTGTACAGAATGGATGATGAGTGTGTGGGGACAGGTTGGCAGCCGGGAGCAAGGCGCGCCCCGTGTCGGCCTGCAGAGTGTTTTGAGTGAAGAAATATTCGTATCGTCTTTGGAGTTGGTTGACAAGGCGCCCAACAGAACCGTGAGGTGTCAGTGAGCGGCAGGATATGATGACAGCATCATGACACTGACAGTTCGATCGTCATTTCCGACGACATCCACCATGTGCCCCCACAACGGGATGCTCGCAGGGACGATAAGGTAGTTTAAAGTGATAGTAGGCACGCACAGCATCTGTCGCACACTCCCCTCTTCCACCCTTCTGTCATGGCATAGTAGAGAAGACCGATGACAAAGTAGGGCGCAGGTGGCTGGCACGTCATGAGCACGTGCCTAGGCGTGCGACCACACCCACTGCTCCGCGGAAAAAGTACCAAGATTTCACTCAACAAGAACAAGGGGGCAGATCGGATCTTAACTGAATGGGAGCGTCACGAAGGCCGCATTAAGAAGGAGTCATTGCAGTCTAACGCTCCGTCCTAAGAGGAAGACTAAGTAATCCCGTCAAGCTGGCGGACTTACAAACCATGGTATTTAGTATGCCGCGATTGATTCAGGCACGACGAAAATGCGTTGAGAGTCGACCTTGCTATGTCGTCCTTTTCCCCTACACGAGTCCATATTTCGAGCCGGCCAACTAACTGATGCTGAGACTGGGAGAGGTGTCTGACAGAGTTAGAGGCAGCTCGTTTGCGCGTGCCACGCACACGACTTGGTCTCCCAACCAGCACAACAGGGTTTCGCGCAAAGGGGCGATGGGGTCCCACAAGTAGCAGAACGGTCCTACGGCGGGGCCGAAGAACACACTTCCCATTTATGCGGGGGGTATCTAGTTTTTGCCTGTAGTGTGTGCTGACGGACGTGTTCATGTATGATGCATGTGCTGATGGAGAAATGGTCGGTGATGTGACCGTGTCCGCGGTCATTTACCCGCATGTTTTCACGAATGCTCATGCGATCGAATAAGCCTATGCGATGGCTGAGTATGCGACGACAACTAGAGCGATGGTGACGAATGCATGTCGGTGCTCCAGGCATTGGTTCGCCAGCCTCTGTGTGATAAATTCACAAGTGACCCACCAGGCTAATGAATGACACGCATATACGGTGGCGATGTGGACAGGATAGGTTGGGATTTGCAGATTTTATTTCGGTGTTGATGATGACAGTGATGGCCACGCTGGTGGATGAAGAGTTGGCAGAGTTGGAGATAAGACAGTTATCATGTGTGCAAACTGTGCGTGGCATGTCGATATTACGATGAATTCTGCCCTAATGAATACGCGTATGACCGAGTAGGTTCATTCAGTCAGTGAGTGTGTGTGGACAGTGCGGATATTGAGGGCGCATGCGGCGAGCGTATGCGGGATCTCTCGGCACTGCTTCGCCAGTCAAAATGCGACTGATTTCCAAGTGATCGACGACGCTGATGTAAAAGATGCGTGTGCGATCGTAATGAGGGCTAGTTGTGACCTAGTCCACATTGCTCGCGGTAGGGGTTTGTGGGATGTGGGGAGAGTTCTCGTCGGTTACGGTAGTTCGGAAGGTGATAGTCACCGTTGTTGTCGTCATTGAGGCTCTGACAGTGATTATGGGTATGGCGGTCATCGGCAGCGACGAGGCAACCGAAGTGTGTTCAACGGTGGTGGGGTTGGCCATCGTTTTGGACGCCGTGGAGGTTGGTGCAAGAGTGATGATGGAAGGCGTTTGTGGAAGCAGTGGGTGGTATTTTGGGGGTTTTTGCGGCGCTGGGTGCAAAGATGTATGACGAGGCCGACCCGCGCGGAATGTTCGTTGGCAGCGTAGGCATGTTGGTAGGGGGTCGAGTATTGACGTTGTGGATCTGAGGCCCATGAGATTGGCGGGTTGCTCTCTTAGCGTTGACTACGGCGATCCGGTTGGTTTCACAGATTGCTACTCCTGTCCTTACTGCTCCTCAGGCTGGTCGGTCCTGAGCAAGTCCTCCCGGATTTATAGCGGATAAACGGTGATGGTGTATGCTCAGTGCGCCATAATTTCAGGCCATATCCCAAGTTGTAAGAAGCGGGACGCCAGTTGGAGAAGATCATTTATTTATTCCGTATAGAAGGACAGGGAAAGTTAGCAACCGGACGAGGGCGCGTCCGGCGCCGCGGAGGTGGCGTCCGCGAGAGCGACGAGCCGTGTGTCGCCGAAGGTCGCCGCTGCAAAAGTGTCGTGGGAGATTACTTACGTCAGGGTCTAGACTGTGCCCGTCTGTGTTACCAATCAGCGAGAGAAATTGCGTCGATTGGCTCCGAGCCCACGCGAGGGTAGTGACAAGCCTCGGATGGTGCAGGCACAGAATCGACCAGATGCGTGGTGCAGACAGTGAATTGCAACGAGACGAATCGAAGCGGGGCATACGTGCGTGCCATAGCAGGCTGTCGCTAGGGCGTAGGTGCAGGCGCTAGCGAGAGGCGCGACGTTGCCAGTATGGCTGTCCACTACAGATCTCCGCGTTGGTTTACAAATGTTACATTGGGTATTTTAGGATGTCCTTACAGCGTCCTGTTCATTGTCCTTGACGGTGAGCACCTGTAGCGACGTCTCCGTAGTGGAGTCTCTTGGGTACTCGCTCGCCGTCCATCCTCCCGAGGCGGCCGCTCCATCGTAGTGTCAATTGCCTCAGCATGACGTGGATGCTGATGGCCCCGGTCCATTCCAAGACTTCGGTACCGGGAATCCTGTCCTGCCTCCGAAGAC